ATGATATAGAGATTTTAGAAAAAAAATGCATTTAGCTCACAGTCATTTGTCAACAGCGGTGTGAAATACTTCCTATTGATTTGAATTAACTATTCTTCGGACTTCAACTGCACGAACATTCTTCAAGTCTTCTAATCAAACATACGCTCGGAAGTAATAGACTTGAGTTTCGCTCTTATTAGAGCTCATCAGTAGTGCATATCCACCGTCCCATCAGTGATTTCAACTCCGGACCCGTTACGAGGAAGACATGTCCGTTACCACTGTGCCAACCAGCTCACACCAAGGCTGCTTGTTCAGGAGTCGTCTTCAGTGATAGTCGGTCAGTTCATTTGGCCCGACAGCAACCATGGGAGACACAGATGACAATCTGTTAACTCCATTTGAAAGCCTCCCACTAAGTCAGAACTTCCATGCAGGTACGGACTGATTCGCAAACGAACCTACAAGGCTGGATTGCTATTTATTAATCGACTCACACCACTACTCACAGGTGACTGTGAGTTAAATGTGAAAACTGCAATTGACGGTCTCTAACTTCAAGATGTCGATAATTCGCATGCACGGTGTATGATCACATGGCTTTTATTCTATCGTTGTGTCCTCTGGTTAACCAAGACAGCGATATCTGTCTGAAAATATGTCCCAGATTTGGTTCCAAGCTACAACTTCACTAGCCATACTACAATGCAGTTTGGGTGATCAACAACCAGCAATGCTGTGGTGATCCTAGTCTACGGGATAACGCAGGTCACGGAGCAACGTGTCCCAGTTTCCGGACAACCGTAGTGAGTCAAAGTTCCTAGATTACGCCGGCGAAGCGCCTACGAGTTACAGCTTCTGGACAATGAACAATAGGCCGATCATGCTGACCAATCAGGAGTTGTGTGGTCCAGACGGAAACTGTATGCAGTCAAGAATATGAGCAAGCTATTGGTCGATACCCGGATGACCAGTAAAGTTCATTTGCACTTGTTATTTAGTTCCCTAGATTTCTTTCAATAAATGAACCGCTACTTCTGCGACCTTTTTTCCTTGCATTTCGATTACGTGAGATACAAGCGTGCAAGTGCTATTGCGATTCAGTGTTTCAGTTGCGTCCGTAATTCGTAATTTGTGATCTGTGCANAACTCGACTCCTACAAGTGCTTCTTGACCCAGGGATTGAACCGATAATTGTACACTACACAACACACGCACGCACCCACACACACTAACACTTAGACAAACTCTGCTTTTCTTCTGAAGCACGGTTGCGCAATAATCCTGATAATCCTTTGATGATACCTCGACAGGACTTTTGAGGACAAAATAAACTATTTATCACGAGGAGCTGTTCTCATGCACTTAAGACAAATGGAAGGAATTCGAAAATATTAGTCACTAAGTTGTTGTTGGGATATTTTGCTTTCCCCATATTCTTCTTTGACGTATCTCCTGTGTCCCACATTCCCCACGAAAACATTCTTCAATGTGACAATGATGTGTGTCTTTTCTTTTTTCCTCAACATCCGCGATGCGTCTCAAATGGTGATATTTTTTGAACATTTATTTATAAGTTATATCGTGAGATAAATCCACCATCAAGACTTTCAAATTTCAAGCCAAAAATGATATCATGCTCCTTCAGTCACATTTACACTGAAATGAAAATGACGAGAAACTTTCGAAGTGTTGTGAATAAGGGTTGGAGGATAATGTTCAACTCACATCATCATTATGCCTGCAATCACGCGGGAATACTGTGCGCTGTACGCAAAGTTTAGGAGTTTGAGTCAATAATTCGATCGCTACCATAGCCCGAAATCTATTTGGACACTAATAATTCAGCTGTCCATTTTGACTGTTTTCGTTTGAAGTCAAATTTGGATTGTAAAACGGTTGTGACATTTGATGGGATTCGAACCCATGCAAGAAAATCGATTTTACCGGTGTATGATCTACGGTCTGTTAGCCAAGCCATCACAGCTCTGATCTTCACATGTTCGGCAGCTTACCCAATTTAGAGAAAGAGATATATGACATACACCAGTTCATAGGTAAGCTCTCTGCTGTGGCACGGTTTTTGCAGAAACCATGGAAATACATCATATGGAATCCAAGCCTGTAATGACTATTCAACATACGCAATCGTAATAGATAATCCATCGGGGTACCCGGCTCATTTGCTCACTTGCTGGATTTTGTATGCTTTTCTAATTTTAATCGGTAATTCGATATGAAAAGAGCAGCACAATCGGTCAGTTAGTAATGCCTATGTTATAAAACGATGTAGCCGATGTCCGTGAGTAGACTATAATTCCACCACGCCTCTAATCTTCTGTCTGTGGGTGATGGCAGCGAAATAGTTTAGTCGCTATCGCTTGTGATTCGAGGTTCG